CATGTCTTCCTGATCTGAAATGGTTAAATAAGGAGTGAGCTACACTAGCCCAGTAAGAACATCACGATATCTCACCGTCACGGAGGTAAAGGTGGGTAGAAAAACACAAAAGACCAATGGAGCATAATTTACAACAAATCCTTTTATTTATGATAAAACCTTTACCATCCACTTACCTCGGTGGAATTTATGAAAACAATATAAGAAAAACAATAACATTATCATAATCATTGAATAATATAAGCTGTAAAACATAACACTTATCACGCCTCTTGTAATTCAATCATTGTACAACATATCTTTTTCTCATTTACCAGCCTACTAGTATCCGTGGGGGTCCATAGGGGTTCCGCTACCCGTTAACCTTTAACATTCATAATCAGTTTCTAGGGCCGTCCCCATACCCCGTCCGGTATGGGCGCCAAAACCATGAACCTCAATACCCCGTCCGGTATGAGGGTGAAACGGGCCGTCCCCATACCCCGTCCGGTATGGGCGCCAAAACCATAAACCTCAATACCCCGTCCGGTATGAGGGTGAAACGGGCCGTCCCCATACCCCGTCCGGTATGGGCACCAAAACCATAAGATCTCCATACCCCGTCCGGCATGTGAGACCACAATCCCGGTAGGGTTCCCTACGGACCCGGTCCGTCCACCATCTCCCAGGATATCTAGTCAGGCTGACCCCCATAATACAATTATCAGTCTACACAATCTTTCATTTTCCTTTTCCTCAGTCAGCATCATCAATTCACATACAAACAAGCAAAACAGTAATTCATGCCAAACAGACAACATACAGTATCAGTTTTTTCAGTCATTCAACCCATGATTAATAAAAACGTAATATATGCACACAAATCTGTAAAATGAACACATCAAACCTCATTTTGCATTTAAAGCTGTAAACAGGCCAAATAACAGTAAATCACCAATCACACTAGACTCGGGCTCCATTAGCCACCTTAAGCAATTTCACACATTCGTTAATTCAAGAAATACTGTTTTATCATTTTGAACTTTAATACCGTGATAGGAAATAGGGTGAGGGGTCCTTACTTATTTTCGGGATCCGAATACGATTCACAGTGCGCCTGCAGGCCGTCCCTAATTTTCCCTGAATTTTTCCCGGGGAACTGAAACACACTAACAGTACCTGCACGTGTTCCAAAAAAAACCCAAATTAGGCCCAGGGCCTCTTTCGGCCCAAATCGCAACTCCGGCACGGCGACTCCGCCGTGCTCCGGCGATGGCGCCGCCGCTGGCGGCGGCGAGTCGCCTCAGGTTGGCTGTTTTCGGCCGTTTTCGGCCGAATTCGGCCACACTCGCATCGGTCCTTGTGAGAAGACAACCCTAGGGCCCTTGGGGGGCCAAAAAATCACGGAAAAACGGAGCTTACCGGCGGCGGCGCTCTCGGGTGCGGCGGCTCTCCGGCGAGGTTCGTGTTTTGGTGATTCGGCTCCGGTCAACCTGTAGAGAAAAGAATGGTGATAACGGTGATATAAAAATTGCATCGAACGGAGGCCGGGAAGGGCCTCGTCGGAGGCAAAAACCGAGAGGGGGCGTGGCGGCGCCGCTGGGCTTCGGCCGCGTATTCCGGCCGTTTGGCCGGAATTTCGGCCTCGATTTGGCCATAGGAGGAATCAGCGCGGAAAAATGAGTCGGGGGTATGAAATTTACCTCGATCGGCGGTCGGAAATTTCCCCGGTGCGGCGGCGGGTGGCGGCGGTCGGCCTCTGGTTCGTCTTCTCCGGCGAGCGGCGGGCGGCTAGGGTTTGTGGTCTGGTGTGGGGGTTCTATTTATAACCCCTTGCCTTTTGATCTCAGCCGTCCATTTCGTTTTAATCTGGACCGTTCGTTTTTGATTGAATCTGGGCCGTCCGTGCGATTGAATCTGGGCCGTCCGATTGCGCGATTGATCTGGGCCGTCGGATCGCACCCACGCGGATCGCCGACGTGGCTCCTTTCGGAGTGACGCGATCTTGCCACGTGGCAGGCCCCGGTTGGCCAGGACGCTGACCGGGCCTGCTGACGTGGCTGCTGACGTGGCCTTTTTTTTTTTCCTCCTTTCCGGGTGCTACACTGGGAGATTGTGAACAGACCGAATCCATAAGAAACCCTACCGGGAACGTTGTCTCTCATACCGGATGGAGTATGGAGACTTTAAATATTTTGGCGCTCATACCGGACGGGGTATTGAGATTTATGGTTTTGGTGCCTATACCGGACGGGGTATGGGGACGATCCTGGAATTAAGTTATTAAGGTGAATGGTTCACGTGTAGCGGGGATCCCTATGGATCCCATGGATACTGGTAGGCTGGTAAAAGAGGAAATTTGTTGTATGATGATTGAAATATTAAAAGTATGACATGTGTTATGTTACAGAGTGCATATGATTTCCTGATATTATAATGTTATTAATTTCATAAGTTGTTTTCATGAATCTCACCGAGGTAAATGGACAGTAAATGGTTTTATTATTGATAAATGAATTTGTTATAAATTATGCTCCATTGGTCGTTTTTGTTTTCTACTAACCTTTAATTCTATGACAGTGAGATAGTGTGACATCTTTACTAGGCTAGTGTAGCTCATTCCTTACTTAATCATTTTAGATCAGGATGACTTAATTCCCGAGCCCGTTCCGCAGGAAGACGACGAGTAGATGCCTAAAGATTTTATAGTATTTACTTTAGTTAGTTTATTCTTTCATACGTTTAATACGTTTTGGTTATTGTGTAAGGGATGTTAACCATAATCTATTTTATTTCGCTTCCGTATTTAGAAATTTTATATACATTTTCTTTAAATTTTCGGGGCCGTTACAGTTTCTAACCCACAAAGTTAAATACTAAAATATAATTTTTCATGTAATATATAAAGAAAGAACAAGGTATAATAAATCCTTGTCATATATATAATTTTGTGGGATATATATTTATATATGCGGTTTAACTATATTATTTAATATTGACTTTGTATGTTACAATTTTATTTAAGATACATCACGTAAAATTAAATTTTTATAAATTTTATTTAAAAATTTATTATGAAACTATGAAAATTCTTTTTGAAATACTAAAACTACCATTTTACTCAATTTCATTTGAAAATGTGTAGTAAACTAATTTTTGTCATTTTCAAAATATATTCTTTCTTACAAGTCTCTTCAATTTTAAAACAAATACAATTTATTTGTTTCTAACCCACAAAGGTAAATATTGAAATATAATTTTCATATAATGTACAGAGAAAGACCAAGGTACTTTAAATCCGACAATGACATCTCACCGAATCCTAAGAACCCATTAGAGAATCATTTACCAACAACAATAATTAGTTTGTTTTTAACCATGAATATACGAGGTGTGTATATAAATAATATTTTATTTTCTAAGAAAGTAAGTGTATAGAGAACATAAACAAGTGCATAAGTCAACAATGGTGGAGCCAAAACGAATCAAAAAGTTGATTCTCATAGGTCATATTAGTCTTAATCAATCCATTGAGTGTCGTTCGATCCCGGAACGCAAATCGCCCACGAGTCCTCCCGCGTGGCACCATATCAGCATCCGTTGCCACGTGGCTTGTTCTGGTTTTTCGGAATTGCTGACCGAGCATTTTACGTTGTACAACTTTTATAAATTATATTTTGACCCTCAAGTTTCGATTTTTCTTTCAAAAATATTTCAATAACTCAAATATTCACTAATTTTTTCTAAAATTATTTTTAATTTCATCCTCCATCAAATTTCCTTCATTTTTACACTAAATTAAAATTAAAAAATTTAAAAATTACATTAAAATTAATTTGGGTATTACAAACTAATTTTTGTTATTTTCAAGATATATTCTCTCTTACAAGTCTCTTCAATTTTAAAACAAATTAAACAAATACAATTTATTTGTGTAACACCCGAACCCAAAAATTAGGCTCGGGATAATCAAAATTATATTAGAAATGAATTTAGATATTTTTATTAACAATTTTGAATAAATATACATTTTGAGCATAATTAAAAATAGTTTTCAAAGGTTAGAGCCAAAACTAATTTTTGTCATTTTAACAAAAGATGAATTCTCTCCTACAAGTCTCTTCAATTTTAAAACAAGTTAAAATATTCAATTTGTTTGTTTCCAACCCACAAAGTTAAATACTAAAATATAATTTTTCATGTAATATATAAAGAAAGAACAAGGTATAATAAATCTTTGTCATATATATAATTTTGTGGGATATATATTTATATATGCGGTTTAACTATATTATTTAATATTAACTTTATATGTTACAATTTTATTTAAGATACATCACGTAAAACTAAATTTTTATAAATTTTATTTAAAAATTTATTATGAAACTATGAAAATTCTTTTTGAAATATTAAAACTACCATTTTACTCAATTTCATTTGAAAATGTGTAGGAAACTAATTTTTGTCATTTTCAAAATATATTATTTCTAACAAGTCTCTTCAATTTTAAAACAAATATAATTTATTTGTTTCTAACCCACAAAGATAAATATTGAAATATAATTTTCATGTAATGTATAAAGAAAGACCAAGGTACTATAAATCCGACAATGACTTCTCACCGAATCCTAGAAACCCATTAGAGAATCATTTACCAACAACAATAATTAGTTTGTCTTTAACCATGAATGTATATATATAATATTTTATTTCATAAGAAAGTAAGTGTATAGAGAACATAAACACGTGCATAATACAACAATGGTGGGGTCAAAACGAATCAGAAAGTTGATTCTCCTAGGTCATATTAATCTTAATCAATACATTGAGTCTGTCCATTTCATTTTATTAAATATTATTAC